TACCTTGCTAAAGAAGAACGCTTTGCCGATGCCGTAGGATTTTTTCGATATTTTTTCGTATTTTTTTTTGTGTGCTCGAATCGCTAAAGTTTGAGAATTTAGAGAGAGAAAGTTTAGAGAGATAGAGTCTGAAAAAGAATTATGGGCAAGAGAGTAAATGGGGCTGTTACTAGTAAGGGAGCTGGTGAAATGAGATTAGAAAAGCCCTTAAAACTAAAATTTCTGCTCATCAATAAATGAATAATCGGATCAAGTTAGGCGTCCTATTGCAGGTTCTGGATCAGGTCCTGGGCCTTGACCGCCATTGTTGTGTTTGATGAAATTTCCTGTTGTGGGAAGGGTTGTAGTAGCTGTAGTAGTAGTATTTGGTTTTTGTCGTGTTGGTTTTTTTGTGTTTGTTTGTATCTGTGTCAGTGTTGTTTTTTGTGTTTTAGGTTTGGGCAGTTGGCCTCAGTACACCCGAGTGTCATTTTCATTACTCCGTGGGGGTCCGACACTCGGGAATTACCTTGTGGGGGTTTTGTGTTGTTGTCTTTTCTTTTTTTGTTGTTTTGTGTGTTTTTTAGTGTTCTTTTAGTGTTCTTGAGTTTACCCCGTTGGGGGTCCGTGTTCTAGGCTACCTATAGTGGTAGACCTCTCTTATTCGGCTATTGAGCCGGTTATAATTATGTGTTTGTTTTTTTATGTAGTCTATCGTTTGAAAAAAAAAATAAAAAAATAAAAAAATAAATGAATAATCGGATGGCGACTGACAGGAGATGAGATTAGAAAAGTCCTTAAAATTAAAATTTCTGCTCATCAATAAATGAATAATCGGATGGAGGAAATACTGACAGGAGAGAAGAGTAATATCTCAAATGAGTTCGTTGTTGGATCTGTGCCGACCGTCTTTTACATTCCTGAGTACGTCACCGCTGCTGAAGAAGAGCAGCTCTTGAACAACGTACGTGCACAGTTACTCTAATAACTTTTTTTTTTTTTTTTTTAACTATTGTCTGATTTCATTCGCCGCCTGTTAGCAGATTTACCAAGCTCCCGTTTCTAAGTGGAAATCTTTGATGAATAGGAGACTACAGAATTGGGGTACGCTAATCAATTGACCCTTGGCGATTATCTCTTACGCACACCCACTTTATTGGTTGTTTGCCATCAACTTGAGAAGAAAAGAAAAAAGCGACAATTCTTATATTTTAGCTGGGTAAAAGGGAAAAACGAAAGTATTTTGATGTTTATAAATGCGCGTTTCTGAGTTTTGCATCATTGTTTAACTAGAGTTTGAAATTTGAGAAGAGTAGTTTAGATTTTTGACAGATTTCTGATTCTGATTCTTAGTTCAATTCCCATCATGTATTAATAACGCTCGTTACAGTTGCTGGACCATACATTGTTTCTGTAGTTAATCACTTTTTTCTAATCAAGAGCACAAGTGTCTTGTATACCTTCCATCACTGTCTAAGCTTAGAAAATTCGTGTTATTGACATTGGAAAATGATTACTCGTGGCAGGAGGTGTTGTGCACGAGAAAGGACTTCTTGCCCAGCAGTGTAAGTAGCCAATCTTATCATCACAGGGTGTTTGTCTAAATTAGTATCATATGTTCGTAATAGCACTTTCACAACTATATGTTTTCCTTTAACCTATTCTGATTTTCAAATATTTGTTAGAGAAGACTGTTCCCTCATATAAAAAATAACGACTAATTTATTTGTAACTCGTTGCTATCCAATCAGTTAGATGATACTCTTGGTTCATTGAAAACAAGTCATTCGTATATTTAAGACTCGAACATCAAGCGTCAGACTCTAAACAGTTATTACTATTTATGTGGACATAGGACCAAATATGCAAATTCGTATAGTTTGTCAGACGTGATGGTTGTATGAAACCATTCTTGAAATGAGAATCTGAGAGTAAATTTTGGCAGTGTAAATTCATTTTTAAAGCACTTTGTGTTTTGCAGTGCCTCATTGGCTAACGAAAGTCACTAGTAGGATATTCGAGGAGTCGAAGTTGTTTCCATCAGCTATTAACCATGTGCTTATTAATGAATATTTACCTCACCAAGGAATTATGGTGAGTACTAAACCAAAATTTTAATTGTTGAATTTCATTTTTTAAATCCTCAATTGTTAGAATTCTATGACAAACTCTTGCTTAGACCGTTGTACATGAAGGGGAAGGACAACTGTGTGATTTCTCTTGATACAACAATTGGAGTTATTACTAGCATAAATATAATAACTATGATTTTCAAATTAAATTGAGAACTTGTGTTCCAGGTCATGCTTTATATCGGAAATGTGTTGTTTGTCTCAATAATTCTTTCAGATCTTGTCGAGATGGATAGTTCTATCTTTATGGTTTGAGATTGCCACCCCTCTTGAAATATATGGTCTTTATGAAGAAGCTCCTTTGACGACATTTACAATTGCAGCCACACCAAGACGGACCAGCTTATGTGCCGGTAGTTGCAATCCTCTCACTTGGATCACCTGCTGTTATGAACTTTGTCCCTCACCCTAGGTTTGAAAAGGCAGCACAGAACAATAGTGAAGACATTATAATATCTGATGATGTGCCCATGGATATAAGTTCTGGTGAGCGGTTGAGTGAATACGTTCCATTTTCTGTGGTGCTGATGCCTCGCAGCTTGCTGATATTCAAAGACAATGCTTATTCGGGTTAGACATTTGTATTGCCTCATTCATCTATGATATGTGCTTACTTCCAAGCTGGATATTGATTCTACTTTTCCTAATCCCAGATTACTTGCATGGCATAAAAGATTCTGTGGAGCACCAATGTGATGAGGTAAAGTACAAAACAATACACGATCATGACTTGACAAAAGGAGGCAGAACGATTTTGTTTATATTTAAACTTGTAAATTTTGTAATTCAATTGCTTTGCATAATGTTGTATTCTTTTTTATAAAAAGGAAGGAATAAAATACTCATTTTTGTTTATGTTGTTCTTTAATTTTCATTATCTCTCTAACTGTGATGGGCTTGTACGAGTTTTTGTTTAATTTGATGTCGATGTTGTTTTGTCCACGTAGCAGTTACTGTGTTTTTCTTTTTCTGTTCATCCAGGCTGTAAACATTACCACACTTAAGAAATGTGATGACCTAGCATGTACCCATACAAGCTCGATAAATGATGGAGAAGCTAGAGGTGAGGCTGTTATTCACAGGACGGGCACAAGAGTTTCTCTTACATGTCGGGTAGTGACAAAAGTTCATAAGCATTTAATAAAACTGTAGATGTGGTGCTACTGAAAACTAGTAATTTACAATTTAATCAGATGGAACATCTTGGAAAAGTCTATTTTAGGAGTTGCATTTTAATATCCAGTGACACTGTAACTATGTTAGCAAGATTTTTGCCTTCATCTTCTTTGCGTGCTGCATATTATTATGTTAGCTGGTTTTCCTTCATTTTCTATGCGTGTAGCATATTATCATGTTCGGCTACATATTGTTACTTGCTGATCATTTCTGAACAAATTAAATCAAAGTGATGCTGTTGGAAGTTGGTCTACGACTTTATAACTGACTGTTGTATACTTGTAACGGAGAAAATTCAACAGTAGTACTTGTTCTTTTTAGTGCCTTAATTGATAATGATTTTAGCGGAAATACAATCAACGTCATGAAGATTTGAGAAGTCAGAAAGCTACAACCCCCTGATGATCTTACACAGGCCCTTTAACGAGTGAAAACATGTATCAGCCTAGCTCATTTCTCAATCTTCAAAATTTGTAATGATCATCATAGAATTAGTGATTTACTTCAATTTGGTACTCACACACGCATATGTACCTGTATGTGTGTGTATTTACTATTTAGAGCTTAAAATATTGCGACTTTGTAAGCCATAAATAATAATATATTAAGCTATAAATAATAATATATTTTCAAACATAAACCAGCTTATTTAGACAGTGGGTGTTAGTGCACACTGGTATTTTTTTTTTTTTCTACAATATGGCAGTGGTAATCAACAGGGAGATGTTATTTATTATTCCGCACAACAAGCATCCATTCCGTGAAAATTTTTGTAGTTAGCATTTGTAATACAAACAAATGAATATTAAACAACTAATCAACTGATAAAATCAAGCAGGTTTATTAGTTATTAGTTAACAAGCGCATGGAAGTGTTTAGGTATAGGGAGCCGGCAATGGGAGATTGTTCACAATTCCACAGAGCTGCTGAGTGGGAGGAAGATTGTATTCATCCCTAAGCGACCTGGCCGGGGACAGCACGCTCACATACAACTGCTGGCCCAGGTAAGTCCTCTCCCACATCTCCGACCTCAAGTTCCAAAGCCCCGCATTGTCGAGCGTCGTCATCACAGCTGCCCACGAGTTCGGGTACACCTGGATCGTGTGCCTGCTCACGGCATCCAGCAAGTTGTAGTTCTTCCTCTTCTCTGGGCTCCACTTCCCTGGCTCGATAGCCACGGCGAAGAACGAGTACCCGTCCAGGTTCCACGTCTGGATGCTTCTCTCACTGTTCTCAAAGATTATCTCGACAAAGTTCCTGAATGTAGCGTTCACCACGCTCGGCGCCACCACCAGCTGCTGCGAAGTCTCGCTCGCGTCGTCCTTCACGAGCCCGTACTCGAACACCTTGTCGGCCACTCCGAAGTACTCCGCCAGCTTGAGCGGCGTCTCGGTGTTGACGTGGGAAACCCCGTTGATCCCGAACCTGAGCTTCCCGCCGACTGTCGCCCGCGTGTTGGCGATTTTAATAGTCCGGGTGATGTTGATCTGCCCGTAGTGGTACGAGCCCTGCGGATTGGGACGGGCGGCGCTGGCCGTCAGGTTCCACCTGAACGACCGGAACTGGTTCATGGACCACGCGATGCCCTTCCTCTCGCTCTCGGGAGGCGGCGGCGGGAGCTCGGCGGCCGCCGGGGCCGAGGCCCCGGCGTACCGGACGACGGCCACGGCGCTGAGCGGCTTCTTCAGGAAGCGGCTGGAGACGACGAAGTAGTAGTCGCTGACGGCCTGGTCGGCGGTGACGAGGACGGACAGGCACTGTCCGACGTGGAGGTCGAGCGAGTCGTAAACGTTCTGCACAGTGTGCGACCCTTCCATCTCGACCAGGGTCATCGGGTGGCCCTGGAAGCGGAAGTTGACCGAGACGTGCATCCCGGCGTTGCAGACGCGGAAGCGGTAGGTTTTTCCCGGCTCGAGCGTCGCGAGGGGCTCGGCGACTACGTCGCCGACCTTGTTCGACTTGCCGTTGATGTGGATGCCGTCCGGGCGGCCGATGGAGCGTCCGGAGTCGAGGATGGATTTGAGGGCCTTGTGGCCCTTGTTGTACCAGTCGCCGAGGACGACGGCGAACTCGTCGGCCGGGCGGTCGAAGGGGACGGGGATGAGGTCGCGGCTGTGGACTTGGAGGACGCCGATGCCGCCGGCCGCGCGTTGGAGGCCGGTGGTGGGGAAGTAGAGGTAGCTGCCGATCTGGTCCTTCACCTGTGTCAGAATGTGGGAAAAAATATTTCATGTATTAATCACAAATGTATGTAAGATGGGCCTCACCTTAATCTAATCTAATCCTGCAATACATAATACAACTACTATATAACTAACCAACCTGGAATTTGTAGGTGTAGTTGGTGCCGGGGAGGATGGGGCACATGGTGCCGGGGGTGCCGTCCTGCCACGAGTTCTTGCGCTGCTGAATGCCGGCCCATGTGAGGAGGAAGGGCTCGTCGAGATGGTTGAACACGTTCACGACGATGTTGTTGTTGGAGGTGCAGTTGATCTTAGGGCCCGGGAACTGGCCGTTGATGAGGATGCCCTGTTGGGGGACGCCGAGAGGGGAGATGGTGCCGTAGGTCACTTTCCATTCGTAGAAAAGGTAAGGGTCCTCGGCGGTGATGCAGGCGGCCAGGCAGACGAGGACGGTTATAGAGATGAGGCGCTTGCTACAACCCATGACAAACATTTTGATTGATTTGATTTGATTTGATGCCTCCCTCTTTTTTGTTTTTTATTTATTTTTTTCTTCTTTTTTGGGTTTTTTTATTTTTCTTGCCAAGAAGAAGATGCTGTTATGGGATTTTTGCCTTCTTCTGGCAGTTATTACATTTGGGAAAAAAGAAAAATACTTGTGTATGTGGTGTTTTTTGGAAGAGGGATGGTGGGGAGTTTTATAGTGGTCTTCTTCGTCTCGATGCCATTAATTTCATTTCCTGTTTTTGTCAAAGATTATTTTCCCGCCGCTAGAATTCCTAACTAAACTCTCTTCCCTGTTTTTTTTTTCTAAAAAAAATTACCGTGTGAAGCCTTTCATTTCCCCATAACCATGAATCAGATTCATGTCCACCTTCTTTATCGGGCAACATATGCTGATTATAGACATTGACCGTAAATTATTTCCTAGTTAGATTGCTAGGTGAATTGTGTTAATGCTGAGACATTATTATTACTGTTGCTGGACGCTACGTTTGCCCATATAAAGCTATACAATGTCAAAATTAGATTTCAACTTGTAACTAGAAACATCCAACCTTATATTGCATAACTTGAATTTGATCAGATTTTGTGATTATAATCAATATATGAATAATTTTATTCTTCTCTTATTACAATTGAATTTTCTATCTTTAAAGGTGGATTTGTTGATTTCGTTTTCTCTAAATTTGACTTTAAATTTCACTAACATTAATTTGAGGTTAAATAATTTATTCCAAAATTAATAAATTTTAGAAGATCTACAAACATGAAAGTGAGGTCAGAAAACATTTTTGACTATTTTTGTCTTGTTCGAAGTTATTGTGCATTCGGTGACATTAATACAAATAATCGATTAATATCATATCTTGTTGTGTTCGATATGTTTCTTTTATACCTCAGAGGTAGGCCGAGTGTTTGAACTATTCGGGAGTCAAAGAAACTACCATGACTAAGACATTCAGGCTAGGAGATTTCGGCTCCAGAAGAGGGTTGGGCCAACAAAAAATCCACCTTGACAAAGCCTCCGGCCTGAGTGGACGCTTGTTTTGAACATTCCCGGCGGAGAGTTTGGCAAGTGTTCAAGACCAAAAACCACCATAAATAAGGCCTTCNTTAACTGAAGTTTAAGTATTAAAATTTTATTGGGAGACAGTTTTCCCATAAATATTCAAAATATTACAGCGTTGCTTGTGGCTAATTACCCAGAAATTGCCTTCCAATTTTCCAGCAGAACACAAAGGAAAGAACTCAATGTGGATGCCATTCTTTCCACACAAAAAACTGCTTGTCGTTCAATTATTATACATCACTCCATCCAGAATCAAGCTTATTCACTTCCACATAATCATCTCCAATTAAAAAAAGAAAAAAAAAATGAGAGAAAAATGAAAGCTTATTCAGGTATAAAATCCAAAAGACAAATAAAGTAAAGCACTTAGCAGAGCACAGCACATATGCCACCAATCAAACCACACGACTGACGCCACCAATCAAACCACACGCTAGACAGCAACATGAGTTGACTGAATGGCTATAACCAAGTAAAATCACGCAACATTCACCTTTGAGGAGGGTCCACTGTTCGAACATTTGCACCAGTCATCCCCTCAATTCGATCCTTAGTGATCTCCACGAAATGACCCAGCATTTCATGAAACTGCTTCAGCCCAGAAAGTGGGAGGATGATGGACGAGCGATCTGAACCGGTCACCTGCATTTTGCAAAATTTTTAATACTAAATTAACAACGGGTGTAACAGAAATCGGCATTAGTTAAAATTAAATTGTCCATTAAAAACATTTACGGTACACACCTCGGATATCCTCAGAAAATGACCTCTGTTATTGCTGCCAAGGTCAAAGAAAAACTTCTTCTGATCAGCTCTTATCACTTTTGAGACTCCCATGTCATCAGATGGGGGCAGATCAGAAGAACGGTCAACATTCAAGTCAGCAGTTGAGTTTCGTTGAGAACTATGGCTGGATATAAAACCAGCACCAACATCATCTGAGAGCCCGACTATGCGGTCTGGGGCTTCAGAGTTCTGCTCATGCTTACACACAAATAGCAGTATGTTAGGGTTGTTTTCTAAGGCGCATCAAAAATACAAAAGGGAAGGACAACGAGAGAGTGGTTTTATGAATTACCTGATTGGGCAGGATGAAAAGCCCGGATGCTTCATTTATTTCAGCCAAAATGTTCCTAAAGGCTGCCCACCCTTCATCTCGAGAACTTCCCGCAGGGACAATGATAGTGCTACGGTTGCGGCTGACCGAAGCTTCAGATATCTGATGGACGAATCTAAAAGATGAATTATAGGCTTTGGGATGCAAACTAATTTTGAATAATAAAAATAGAAAAGCTTAAATTAGAAGAGGACTCTATAAAGACACCATTCACCCCTTTCGTACAACATCTGAGACAAATAATGAACACAAATATTTGTCTACTCCTAGCATTAGCTGCACCGCGAAATTAAGGGGGGGTTTATTTGGACTTTAAGAATCCTGGTGTATTTTTAAGACTTTTAAAAATCCTGAGCTATTCACTTGAGATTTCAAAAAGTCGTAACAAATCACGAGGTATTTAACTTATTTGACACTGAGATTTACTAAGACTTTTTAAAATTTGCTGAGATTTCATAAACAAAAACCTTACATGAAATCCCACCCCAAATCCCACTTCCAAACTTAAGATTTCCAAGGATTCCTCTTAAATCTCAAAATCTTAAAAAGTCTCAAATTTCAAAGTCTTAAAATGTCTCTTACATTCCCAAACGAATACAACCTCCTAAGATTTCGTAAATGGTCCCCTTGATCCGTGATTATATAAACAGATAAAATAGAGAGAATCAGAGAATAGCTGGGAAAAGCTAAGGATCGGGGCATGTCGGGCTGGGGTAAATTGAACCGGGTAGGGACCCCCAAAATTCATTATCTATAATTTAAGTGATGTTTAAACTCTCAATTTATATATATTGAGGCAGATATACACAGTTATGCTAAATTTTATGGTACATTGTTTTGGAAAATATCATCTGGTAAACTAAAAAACGAATATTGCTTTTTCCAGAAAAAGTAATACCTTTTATATATATACAATATAAATTTACTTGATATACAGCGGACTCCGAGAGGTTCCTCAATTGGATTCAAGACATTTCGCCATCCCTGGCTTAAACCTTAGAATCTAACAAATTCGAACAGAATATTGTAGCACCATACAGATGTCGATGGTTAGCCTTACCATTACAAACTAGTACAGAGCCCGTGCGATGCACGGGGTGCACAATTTTAAGGCTATTTATCCAAATTTATAATTATATACATGAATACAAAAAAATGTACGGGATATATATAGTACGTAACCCGTGCGAGGCACGGGATACATTTATTTGAGGAATACTATATTATAAGATGCAATATTCAATAAAAGTTTTATAATACGCAGGAAAATTATACAATAAGATAGTATTCGACAAACAAACAATCATATATTATTAAAGACTACCTTGTACACAACATTATGAATTTGATTTTCCATACAATAATAATAAGATTTTTTGTAAAAAGATAAGAAGACATTTTCAATCTACACAAACTTTAAACATTAGATGTATTTACGTAAATCAATGACTATATAGACAACTAAACCCTTCAATTTAGGCTTGAGATCTACTTTATTTATGGATGACGTAAAATAAGGATTTAACTTTGACCGATTAAATCTTTATTCATAGGCTTGACATATAAAACTGATTTGATGGGATTTTCTTAACTAAATCGATGCTATGGGATAAAACAAATCTATACTTACCTTTGACTTTTCTAGCAAAGGTAAAAAAATCGGTTCTGATTTTTATCCAATAACAAATCTTTAATGTCAAGCCTATAAATACCAAAACAAATCTGTAATTAATATCATTCAATTTCCAGCAAGCATTAAGTACCTTTGACTTTTCTGCCTACTATTTCTAGTAAATAGGATGACTTTTTATATAAGTATAAATTTCGTATAATACAAAGATTGAGATCATAAAAAAAAATCCTAAAAACTGAAACAATATATTTGCATAATTTAAGGCCATTAAGAAATCGATCTCTAAACCATATTTGATTTTCAGAATATGTTTTTTCATTTCGAATTCCATACAAAATGGAATTCTTTCCAACCAATAGATGTCATAGCAAATATTAACTCTTAACTATTAGACTATTAGTACATACCGAGCAAATTGTGTACTGATTTTAGAAAGTTAAAATGATTCATGTTAGGTAATTTTACATTTTATGCATGTTGAACGGTGGGTTTTAAATATTGTTTCATAGAATGTAAATGTGTATTATATTATTTTTATGAGATGTTGAATTTGAAAATTAATAGAATTTTTCTTCATAGTTATTTTAAATGTAACAATATTCTTTGGTATACACTACTAATAAAATCTATATTTAAAGTTTATATTTTTTTTTTACCGAAAAAAATTCCTTAATTTAAGGAATCATATATCTTCAATCAGTTCACATATATATACAGTCTTCACAATTTTAAATCTTGAATTTGATGAGAATTCATATCTATGAGTGCAAAATATGGTTAAATAAATTAATTTTTTATTATTATTCCAGCCATACTTCTTTATACAGTTTTTTGTGAAAATACAAAAGTAAATTCTTAATTTTAAATCAGTCGTACATTAAAGAGTACAAATTTGTTGAAATTACAAAAATAATTTTTTACTTTTAAACAGACGTAAATTTAAATAATTTATAAAAAAGTAATATTTGTTTACCATTTAAATATTAAATCAACTGTAATTAATGTTGTTTGTTTTAGTTACCATGATTTTCTCTAAACTAAATTAACAACTGCCATGATTTAAGGGCAACATTTAATGCTGCTCTATTTTTAGGAGACATTAAATGTATTTGGCGGGAAAAACTTGCTAAAAGTGTTAAATGGTTAATCTTTTAATATAATGATAGATACTTACATACAAATTTTTTTATTAGTTATAGGGGGGCCCGGCAGGGAGTGAAATCTAAATTCTTATGGAACTGCAAGTTGCAAGGATTGACCCAAATGTCAACTAGTGCAACACCCTTACAAAGGGTGAGAGGTACGCCACATGAGCTACAAGCTTATGGTACCAATACTTACATACAATGTTAAACTCCTACTTGTTATTTCCAACTTTCAGCCTTGAGTTTTACATATAAACAAAGGACCAAAGATGATAACTGATTACAAAGAATTCTTGATACTAAGGCAGTAAGGCTTGGTAACAAAATCCTCTTAACCAAGGCAAATATCATCCACTAGCCGTACCGCGATATCATTTTTTCCACCATCGGTTTAGCGTACTTTGGATGACTTAAACACAATCCTTCACGTTGAAAATAAACAACAAATTTGACATTTTGTGATTCCTTGTGCAGTGCGCTTAACATGACATCATATATGACATGCTACAGCTATTGGAGTATTTTTTGTCATGGTAAACTCAGGAATAATATTTTAAATTTGCTTACTATAATTATAACTGAAATTATTTAGAGATATGGGCATAATTCCTACCAGAGGTTCCTTTAGATTTACTTTACGGAAAAGATCATCATATATTCAAACAAGCACTAATCTAATCTATTGGACAATATTGACATCTTTTGAAGATTAAAGATCATCCAATTTTTATATGCAAAGTAAAATTATGCAATTGGGTAAGAACAACTTGATACTACATCAATTTAGAAAACTTTGAGTGACTGGATACACTTTCATCTAGATTTCTTTTATTAGATGAGAAAAAATTTTGAGAGTGACAATGGAAATGAGATACGTCAGTAGATGCATAGTGAAATCTATTGAAAAATGCATAACAATTAGAATGTTTTTTTAAAAATGAGTTGAAGTGATTGGTGGGAGCAAAATAGGACATGAATGAATAGTGTCAGTTTTCAAATTTTCCATTGAGATGAAAACCTTTTTAATGGAAAGGTATCCAGCTTTACTGACCTTGAAGAGAAAAGATCATTCAACCTTTGGTGCATATGGATCAGAGGGAGGACTAGATGTTTGATTAATATGTTATCTATATATCAAATGAGAAAATCTCATTTCTTATGAAATGAAAACAACCATCCAATCTTCATTACAAAATGATCTAAGGGATGGATTAGATACTATGATCAGAATAGCCTGCATTCAGAAGTGAAAAGGGATAGAGATGATTATTAATCGGAGCCGTGTAATATATCAAAAGGTTTGTTGAGTTCCTCATTAGTTCTATAACTCAGCTTTAGAATACTTTGTGGCTGTTTCCTATAAGCAGTTTTTAAGAGTTGCACCTGACTGCTATTATATTAGCTCAATGTGTTGCACCCAGCACAAAGTACCATACTGGATATTAGATACTCTAGTATACCACTGGAAAGAGAACAAAATACCATGTATCTATGATTCAGACTCAACAAATTCTACTGGTAAGACATCCTAGAATTTCAACCCTGCACTTACAGAATACTTAACACCAAACTAGAACTTTATGAATGAAGAGAACTGAAACTCACAAGTAAATAGGTGTTGATATTCATGCACACAACACAGAAGTGAGATGACAAATAATATGAAACAAACAAGAAGAATGCAGAAATTTTACTTTGAGAAAGCGTCCCCTTCTGTTCTCTCCAACATCAAAATAGAACACCTGCAAGCGGATTACGAAATAATTAAAGCAGGAAGTGAAAAGATAAAAATTTCCATACAGAAGAAAAAGGGTGCAAATGGGAACAATAAGCTTTAAGTGTAAAAGAGATGCCTTGGTATCGAGCTGGAGTTCTTTGCTGAAAACGTCCTGTTCGTCTGAATTGACATAGTAATTGAAGAGATCGAGGAACCAGGCGACGCCATTGGAGGGCACTATGATGGTTGACCTGGTCGCCGAGGTTTTCTCAGAGATCTTAAGGTAGCGCCCACGGGGATTCTCTTTGAGGTCGAAGTAGAATAGCTTGTGCTCAACCTGCAGCGTCTTACACAGAAGTTCCACATCATTCCCACCTCCGCCGCCGCCGCCGCCGCCGCCGCCCGCAGAACTACCCTCCATCTATAGGAAAGAATAGACAATTTTCCTCCGAACGCAGTTCCAGCAAAATGTAACAAAATACAATTACTGGTACTGTATGACTGAATTTAGATGAAACTGGTAAGACTGATCGGAAAACTTGACGGAACCAGCTGTGCTGCTGATAATGTTTGGGTTTTTCATTAGGGTTTCGGGGAGGATGACAGACCCGAGGAAATAAAACTTTTTTATATTTTGTTCAGTTATTTGCGTCAACTAATTTTGAGGAAAATAGCCCGCACTCTCACGAACGGACGTCAGAAAATCAAATACTACTACTTTTGTTATTTTAAATGTTATTTCGACTTTATCAATAATTAAATTAAATAATTAATCAAATAAATGATCTTTTAGGTATTATGTACATATTTTTCATTATTGTCTTCATCTACCTAACACTACAATCTTTTCATATTCACTCTTCGTCTTTTCTCAAAATATTTATCTCTATCATCATTAATAAGAGTTATTATTAAAAAAAAAATTAAGTACTGTTCAATTTTTCAAAACGACACTTATTAAAAAATGAGTGAGTATTAAATAATGAGTAATGCCATATATATATATATCAATCTAAGAAAATTGTAAATCTATATCTATATATATATATATAGGGATTGGTTCCAATGCATCCCATTATTTAAAGTGAGAACGTGAGACTCATTCCTAGCCACAAGATTTAGATCTTGATTTAAATAATAATTTTTTATTTTTATTATTTAATTTTTTATTTTTAATTATTTAAATATTATTATGACCATTGACCGTTGACTCCGGCGTTGACCGTTGACTTCCGGCGAAACTCGTTGACTTCCGGCGTTGACCGTTGACTTCCGACGTTGACCGTTGACCATTTGTCTTTTGTTATGTTATTTCTTTCTTGCTAGGTTAGTTGTTTGTTGTTGCTAGGTTAG